CCCCCCCCCCCGGGGCGGCCTGGGCCCCCCCCCCCCCCCGGTCCTCTGCCTGCATCCCACAGTGGCTCCCCAGAAGGGATGCATGGTGGGCCACGTCCATGTCCTACCCTGGGCCCGAGACCATGACCTTATTTGGGAAGAGGATCTTTGCAGACAAGGTTAAGGCTTTCCAGACCACCTTGGGTCGAGGGTGGGCCCTAAATCTAGCGACAGGCACCTCTGCAGGAGGGAGGCCGAGGAGATCTGGTGCAGACCCGCAAGAAGACGGGGCCAGAGATGGGGCGATGGGCCACAGCCAGGAGACACCGAGGGCCACCCGAATTGGGGGCACCAGGATTCTCTCCTGAGCCTTCGAGGGGGCTCACCCCGGCCTGGCCTCTGGTCTCCACGTCATGGGAGAACATGTCTCTGCTGCTCTCAAGTACGGGTCAGGCTGGAAACAAATGTGAGGGGCAGAGGAGAGGCGTGAGACAGGGTAGGGATGGGCGCGGGCCCCCCTAACCTGCACCTCACTCCCTGCACTGTTCCCTTATGGCCCCCCCAAACCACCCACCAATCAGGCTCGAGGCTCTGGTTCCAAGGGTTGAGGAGGGAGGGGCTGCCACTCCATTGCAGGACAGTCCGGGAGTCACGGGTCTCCAGTGGGGACCTACAGAAGCCCTGGCTTTACCCAAATGAAACAGAGGCGCAGGGGTGAAGTGCCAACCCCGAGTGCAGGGCCAGATGTGGACAGGCAGGGAGCCAGTCCCAGAGCGAGCTGCTTCTGGGCAGCAGCCGCCTGCCGCCTCCAGGCCTGCACCTTCCCACAAAACTCTGCTCGACCAGGCTGGCAAAGCGCCCCAACAGGGACAGGTCGGTGACGGACACCCACAGCATGAACCCGGCCTGCGACAGTGAGAAAGCTCACCCCGACGTCCTTATAGGCATGAACCACCAGCGGCAGACTCTGGCAGGAGGGTCCCCGTTGGCAGGAGGGCCCCCACTGGCCCCCGGTGCCTATGCTTGATGGAGATGCTGAAATGAGCTGGTGACCCCTCTGTGGGCACCCCCAAGTCACAGCTGCCAAGTCCACCCAAAGCACAGAAGCCACACCAAACACCTGCAGCCCACACTGCCTGACCACCGGCCCTTCTGTCTACCACGACCTAGCCTGGCCACTCTGAGGTTTCCAGGGGCAATGCATTTCCAGAAACTTCTCTTTACAAAATCACTTTCCTACTGCTAAATTTAAGAAAACATCAAGCCGTCAGGGCTCACAGGTTCCTAGCAACTGTAACGAACAGAACCGATGTGGATGGGCCATGACACCCAGGGGACCCCAGACCCAGTGCGGCACCGTACCCACGTCACTGGGGCGCCTGCTGGGGTCGGGGCTGTGTGTGACAAACCACCCCGGCTCTGTGTCACCCGGGAGGGCACTGGTGAGCAGGCCGGGCCTCCTGGCTGCCGGCCGGCCTGAGTCACAGTTAACTGACGTTGAGCCCCTTCACACGACACCCCCTTATCTGTTTATAGGTGATTAGCCATCGGGACCACAGCTTCCCAGGGGTGGTCCACAGCTACACGTCACAGTATTTGCCTCATTGATCGGCCCCCCTTCCTCATCAATACTTCTCTCTCAGGCCTTCAGCCTTTGCATGGTAGGGCAGGCCCTGCTCCTGCTTTTCCTTCTGAAAAAATCTATGTTTTCTTTATTCACAGCAGGGCATATGTGAGTGCCTATGAGAGACAGAGACACGTCAGAGGTCTGGTCACCCATAACCCCCACCCTCCAGTCCTCCAGCCCATCAGATCCTGGGCATGTCCATGCGTGTCTGGCAGGGGTCGGGCTGACCAGGCTTGGGATTCGAACTGCAGCCGCTAGATGTGGGAGCTGGCTTTTCCCGAGCAGTGTGTTACTGCCGCACCATGGAGCCTGCCCCCTGCGGTCTCTCTCCTCCCTCTCTCTCCCTCTCTCCCCTGTCCCACAAGTGCCTACCGAGCCCCTGCAGGGTGGCAAGTTCAAGGGTAAGCAGGCAGCGCTCCTGCTGCCACCCTGGAGCTCGTGTCCCGGGGCGCGGAGAGTGAGCTGATGGAGTGAAAGAAACACGTCGGGCGGGCTGGGGCAGGAGCGTGCGAGTGTGGCTGAGTGCAGGTGTGCACGTGCGAGAGCGACGGATGTGCATAAGTGTGTGTGTGTGAGTGCACGTGGCTGTGTCTGAGTGTGATACGTGGTGCTGTATACACGTGAATGAGTGTGCCTGTGAGGCGTGTGTGACGAGTGCACGTACGTGGGCATGTGAGGGTGTGTGCGTTGCTGACAGCAGAGAACGCCCTTTCGTGGCAGGTTGGGTGGCACCGCCTCTGTCCCCAGCCCGCAGCCAGGCCCACACACAGGACCCATGTCCTTGGGGGTGCTCACTGGGCCTGACCTGGTTTTGCGCAGTGCAGCGTGGCCTCTGTGTGGCGCCCCAGGCCTCGGCCATCCCGACTGGTGCCTGCCGGTTCACCTGTTTTTCACCACCGCTACCACACGCCCAGTGCCACCCGGATTCTCTTCCTGAGGTAAGACTGGTCACCCCTGGATGCCTCCTCGGGGGCCCAGTCCAGGCTATGGGGCGGTCAGAGAGGGCTGCCACGTGGGCCTCTGGTCCATGGCTCCATTAGGGAAGCCAGCTAAGACACCTCCCAGCCCCTCCGGGCCCCTGAACTCTGGCCCTCTTCCTCAGACCCAGACAGTCCTGGAAGGGGCAGGATCGAACTGGGCAGAGCCAGCTAGGCCAAAGGGTGGGGTCAGCATTTCTCACCAGCCCACCTGAACCCCAGAACCACAGGCGCTTGCTAAAAGGCAGATTCCCGGGCCCTCACCGGACCCAGGATCACCACCTTCTAACAAGATGCCTGTGTGGTTCCGAGGCGCCCCAGAGGTTGAGGGCTCCTGGTGTCCAGGCAGGGCTGTACCCCAAGCCTCCGTGAGCGCTAACGGAACACAAGTCCCTTTCTGCATCTGCCTCATCCGGGCCATCTGGGCACCTACCAGAGCTCTTCTCACTGCTAGCTCTGATGGCATTTGCTTTGCCTGAAGGGACGGAGGGAAGGAGGCCAGGGGAGGAAGTGGGCCCAGGATGCTGGGGGTCTCTGCACAGGGCTCCCTTGGAGCCCGCTGCCCACTGGCACCTCCACCCGGCCCCCGCTACCCAGGCTGCCCTGCAGTACGCGGTGGGAGCTGAAGGCCACTGGGCTGCAGAAGCCCAGGAGTTCTGAGCCCTGCGAGGGCCACAGCTGCCTCATGGTACCAGCCTGGCATGGCCCGTGTGCGGCTGTGGGAGACCACCTAGCAGGAGCCAGAGAGAGGGCGGCTGGGCCCTTCCACCCAGGCCGCGCTCTGCATCTGGCCCTCATGTCCTTCGGTGGCAGCCATCACAGGGGAGGGGGGCGCTGCTGGGGGAGTTGCACCCACACCGTGGGCTCTGCTTTTCCAAGGACGCCCTGCCTGCAAAGCCGCAATGTCCGAGCGGCTGATGCAGTAATCCATAGACCGCAACACCGGGCTGCACAGAAGCCGCCCGGAAAGGCTTTTAGTTAAAAATAAACCCTGAGGGACCAGCAGTTAGTATAATGGCTATGTCGCTGGACTCCCATGTACTTGACCACGGTTCG